TTTAAAATTCTCATATATATTTATATATATTCGTATATGACGTAAATTTTAACAAAGTACTTTCACAAAATCTTAATTTATCATTAAAATATATTATTCAATATATTATTTTGCATTTTATTTGAATTGTTTAAAACGTTTCACATCTATTTGTTGTATAAAAAACGAATATAATAATATATTTATAAGATAATTTTAGATTAACTTTAGATTAATCAAATTTTATTAAATTCTTTAAATTCAAATCATTGCGACATCGTTTTTTCTTTCTATATACATATTCTTATTAAATTCTTAACAAATATTTTAATATGCAATAATAGAATTATAACAAAAATCGTAATTTTTTTACTTATTTTCTTTTTTTTTTATTTTTTCAAGTTTGGAATCGATATTGATCTTTTTTCATTTGATATTTAAAAAAACATTTATTTGAAATTATAATATAAATCGAATTTTTCCATTTATCTTTCTATTTTCTTTAAATTCTTGGAATTGATGTATCTCGCTTCTTGAGCGAGTCTAATGTTAGGCTCGAAAGTTCAATCATCGGTTGAAGAGGCTCAGTTTATTTCTTTTCTTCCACTTTGTGCTCTCATTTGCGTCCTTATTTCCTAAACGAATAAGCTCGAATTTCCTCTTTCCAATCGTTAAATCCAAGCAAATTGCACCGGTAATACAGATATTTCATTCCTTGAATTTCTTTAAGATCCGTCAATCTCACGTTGATCTCTTCATTTATAGCCTGAAATTTATTTTCCGACTGTCGTTACTTCCCTGAATTTGTAACCTATCTGTATTCTTATTCTTTCGAAAAAAACATTTATCGTTACTTTTACGTTTCATCGTAATTTATAGATTCTTTTTTATTCTATTTTTTTATTATCAAGGATAATAAATCGGTTTAATTCATTTCTTCAGGAACAATAATTTGAAAAATTGTATCTCTATGATTAATGATGAAAAAAGTAAGTAATCGTAGGTAAAAATAACTAATTTTATAATTTTGGTTTTGTTTATAATGTATAAAAATCATATCTATTTTTTTATATCTCTTTTCTATATCTGTTAAAATTATATTTATATTTATTGTTCTTTGAATCCATATATGCATATATACATATATATCGTTAAATTTTTTTTGTTTCTCCTTTTTCATCGAATAAATATTGATCCGAATGTACAATATTTGTACGTTGTTATCAATAATATTTTTTGAATCATCATTTATTAAAAATATTTGTATGTTTTATTACATATTAATATTATTATACAATATTATAAAATATTTCATTTTTATTTTTCATAAATATGCTATAATTATGATATAATAATTATTGTCTTGAATAATTAATTATGCAAATTATTTAAATATGTACATAAACAAAATTTGTTTATATCAAAAGTATTTCTGAGAACATTATATTAAGGTTAACTGTATTATGAAATTTATAGATATCTACTTTTATTAGATCATCAAAAAAAGGAATAATTGTTTTACGTTATTTAAATTTTTATTCAAGTTGAACACTTTAGAATACTGGGATAAGATAATAAAAGAAATATTCACTTTTATTATTAGGAAAAGAAAGAATATTCAATCATTTTATTTATCCTCAATCCTTTTGGATACTTTGTTTCTCGCTTATCTATTTATTATGCATGAAGCTTGTGCAATGTAAACTTATACTAATAAAGAAATAAAAAAATTACAAGGAATTGGAACAAAACTTATTTTTAACTAGCATATTAATATTATAATAATATGAAAATTTTATGATTTTGCAATTCCATCAAAATAATACAATAATAAATTAAATTGCACTAAAAAAATTTCCAAATGTATTTTGTGTTTTAATTTTAAGGTCTAACGGTAAAGAGAAAGGCAATGATGAGAAAGGGAACTCAAATAAAAATAAAGATTTGCATAATTTGCGTTGTTGCAAATGTGGTCATAGATGTAATAATGATATTTCCCGAAAACTGTTATAAATTTCACAATTTGTTCTCTCTAACTGTTCAGTTTGATACGCTAATCCCGACACTAAGAAAGTTATATCGATTCTTAAACGAGGAGCACTTAACTATGCTTATTGCATCCAATTTCTCCATTCTTTTCTTTTGTATCTGTATGTAATATTGATGTTCATTTCAAAAGCGTGTCAATTCCCGATTCGTATTTAACTTTTCTCTTTCTCTCTCTTTTTTTTTTTTTATAAAAATTGATAATAATTTTATATTCAAGCATGATTTCAAAATATATTTTTTAAAAATAAATAACAAGATTTTTTTCATTGAGATACTCAGTTTTTATAAGAATTTTACATTATGTTTTAAGCAATATTTATATCATAAATCTTTCAAGTCAAATCGTTTCGATTTTTATTTTACTTGATTGAAATTTAGTTTAAATGATTTTAAACGATTTAAAAGACTTGCTTTACAAATTAAAAGTTCTTTAATATAATTAATATTTAAATTGGTAATAATAATTTTAATATAATAATATAAGCATACACATAAATATCAATTTCACAATTTTTAAAAGATAACAAACGAATAATTCTTAATATTTCAATCCAAATACTTGATACTCATAATTTCACATGTTCATTATTTGAATAAGTAATCGAAATTTCTTTTGTAATATCTCAAATATAAAGCTTTCCTTATATTTCTTTTTTTCCCTTCTCATTCAGATTGAATTAAAGAAACCAAATTGAAGTAAAATTGTTAATAGCGGAATTTCGATTAACTGCTTTTTATACTTGGTTTTAAATTAATTAAATGTTCAAGTATTTATTTGGATTTATCCGGATATATTAGGATACTTATTCTCAATTCGTGTATCCATAAACTTTATATTAGTAAGAGTTCTATCAATAAAATATTTTTTTCTAGAAAAAATTGAGATGTTTGAATTTGAAAGCGTATTTTCATCCATGAAGAAATTATCTATTTGATTTTACAATTTTGAAAAATGTATTCGTGCACGAGATACATTGATTGAGAAATATCGTGTTCGAGAGAAAATTTTAATGAAAATATTCTTAGCAAAGATAACGAAGAGACGAATAGAATAAATTGCGCCTCGTT